ACCCCCCCCCCCCCCAATCTACCCGGTCATTTAATCCACAAACCGCATGACTTGAAAACACCGAATACGTTTACTGCATCGTGTCTTGTTTTCCTTGACATCTCATGCTCACCCTCACCCTCGCTTGTTTTCTATGCGCGCCATAAAAATCGTTTACAGGAACGAAACCGAAGTGGATACACAAATTCCCGTCTGCAGTATGCCTTCCCTCTCACATACGACCAACCTCCCACTAGACCGGTGCCCAAACGAGGCTGACTTATTTGTTTCACATGTATACCGCTTTCTTAATATATACATGGTCATCACGCGTATGCATACGAGGAATCACGACGATCGGCTACCGCGATGACTGTCCGTGGAACCGATTGATTGACAAAACCGAGGGAATATTTCTGAGTGCATTTGTACAATTTTTGCTGACTGTTTACATCTCTCAAACAAATCGATCGTAAGTACGTATGGTTGCATCATAAAATATGCAAATGCTTGCCAGAATAGATGAAAGATCGTCAAAAGGTGTAGAAAGTTGACCAGCATCTCGATGGCCTGCAAAGGCCGAAAAACAAAACAATGAGAACGGTATGAACTGAACAGCACCAATGGGCATAGCATTCAGCACGTACACGGGCACGGGCGCTGGGGTGGGGGGAGGAGTTGAGTCTATTGTACACATCAATGAGTGGGAAAGATTGCATTCGACTGACGATATCCAAGTTCTAGCCAGGCCTTTGTTCCATTTTCGGTTTAGGGGGTTTAAATCCACCGAGACCTCTTGACGACCTGGATTTCTTTGCTTTAAAATCGCGCCAGCTTGCAACACGTTCGTTACGGCTATCCTAGAATAGCACAAGAGTAGGACAAGTAACATTAGTCACTTTCGAATGAAAAACGTAAACGGACAAACTGCATCCAAAAAATACCCAGAAGACAGAAAAGTGAACTTCAAATCAACTTCTGAAGTCAGACATGCTAGAAGTTAATATAGTGATTGAGGTTCACCGCCGGGTACGATGTGGAATTCAGAATCAGCGATCAACGGGAGAAAGAATAAAAACCCGTAACTTATATAATCGACATCAGAAACCTAGAGTGAATGACTAGGTCAACACAGAAAACGTAGGGCTCCAAACCAGTCTGCGTGTATACGAGGAGATAACTGGTGATCCAATCTAACAGGTGAGATGGAGTGGGCGGG